TTTTTTTTTGTGCGAAGGGAAAATCATCTAATGACTTCTACCCTAGCATTAGTCTCTTACTGACTAAAAACCCCCGTTCCTTCTCCTGCTCTTGGCCGTGGCAGCGGTGCCTCATTGCGCTTACCCGCAACCCCGGCTGAACATCAGCCGTATCGGGCCCCGTCTGTGGTAGTCAATTGGCTCTTTGGGAATCCCCGACGCTCAGATACTATATACGACCTACTGCAGAGGCTGAAGCCTGAGGAACTAACACGTAGGAATCGACATTGGATTTACTTATTTCAATTGAGTAGTAACAAGAAGACAGTAATACAATGAAAGTTTACAAACATTTTGATGTAGCAGTGAGAGTAATTACTATCTAAATGGTAACATTACAATTAGAGAAACAATAATAGACGATACTAGCGTACCTGTGTCACTGGACAGTGAACCTCGCTACCATCAGTTGACTGGACAATCTCTACACTACATGAGTCGCTGTTTACATGTCAACATTAGCTCATGACGATACCAGCGTACGTGTGTCACTGGACAGTGAACCTCGCTACCATCAGTTGACTGGACAATCTCTACACTACATGAGTCGCTGTTTACATGTCAACATTAGCTCATGACGATACCAGCGTACGTGTGTCACTGGACAGTGAACCTCGCTACCATCAGTTGACTGGACAATCTCTACACTACATGAGTCGCTGTTTACATGTCAACATTAGCTCATGACGATACCAGCGTACGTGTGTCACTGGACAGTGAACCTCGCTACCATCAGTTGACTGGACAATCTCTACACTACATGAGTCGTTGTTTACATTTGTCAACATTAGCTCATAACAATACTAGGCAGTGAGCTTCTCTACCATCTTGGCAATTCAGTTGGTAACTAGCTGCAGGGCCTAACCGACCTCAACCTAGTTAGGCGAATACCCTTACTATACAATAAATGAATGAAACAATGATGGGAAAGATACAGGTAGTAGCGTTTTCCTTAGATCAACGTTTTTTTATTGAGGTTTTTAACACCCATTGAACTGAGCGTGGCATATAGATTTTTTTTATGTTACGGCCATCAAGCTGACTGGACTACCTGAAAGTAAGCAATCAACGCCGCCCATGGATACCCGCAACAACGGAAGAGTTACGAGAGCGTTGGCGACCTTTTGGGGATCAGGGTTTGGGGATTAAGTTATTGGGGGTGGGGAAGGATTGGGCCTTCGGTAACCTCACTCACTCGGCGAAACACAACGCTTATTTATTACGTTTTATTAAAGGAATAGGAGCAAAAGCGTTGCCGCCTTTTTTATTTATTTTATGAATCAAACGAAAGTTTGGGTGATCGCAAGAACTACTGAGCAGATCTGAATGAAATGCGGCACAGAGATAGATTATGGCCTGAAATAACATTGTGGAAGGAGCTTGTACATATTGGCGTCCTTAACAATGTTTTATTGTATTGAAGATTGAAATAATTTATCATTGATTATGTGGAGCATCAAATTAAGGAAAATTAGCTACTTATACTATGGTTCTGCCTATCCCCAGCTCAGAATTAACATCGTAGCGTCTTTTAATATAACATATCTGCTAAGTTCGCTTATTTACGCATTCCAAGTGTAGGTCAACAATCTACAGTACATATGATGCAATAGTTACATTGGATTAATTATAAATATTGCACGTAGAATTTTAATATAGTATTTATAACATCCAAATTTCACCTACTTACTATGTTTTTTAAGTGGATTCGATTATTAAGATTGTCGAAAAATCAATTTGTTAAAAGTGTGTTTATTTTTGTAAATATGACTACGAGTATTTTATTGCATAGAAAATTGGAAATGATTTATGTTAGACAAAATCAAGAATCAAGTTTTATATTAACTAAAAATCTCGGGTTACTCACGTGTGTAATTGAGAAAAGCTCTACTAGTTTTGAACCAGGCTGCGCGACATCGCCGCGTCCGCGCACTCTGCTCATGAGGAAGAACTCCTATGTGGTTCGAAACTAGTAGAGCTTTTCTCAATTTATACACGTGAGTAAACCGAGATTTTTAGTTAATTTAGTATACCTTTCGCGAGACATCTCGCGATAGTTATTATATATAAAAACAATTAAGTCCTATAGTAAATATCATAAGATTCTTACTAGCACTGCCCAACCTGGGACTCCTTGTAGGCATTTGAACTTGGGACAACTCAAACTCAACTCAACTCAAAAAAATGACAATGTTAACATCATCCTATTTATAATCCTACTAGCTACTCTCGCGCGGTTTCACCCGCTGCTTGCTCCATTTGATCGTAGCGTGATGTTTTATAGCCTATAGCACTCAGAAACATTGTAGCTCATCAGTGAAAGAATTTTCGCAATCCGACCAGGGGTTCGAACGATTACCCCCTACATACAAACTTACAAATTTTACCTTTTTATAATATTAGTGTAGAAATGATAAGTCATGAAAGAAAATATGGATGGATTGTGTGAGAAGTGATATGGAAGACAGAGGAGTTAGCGATAGCATGACGGGTGACAGGACACAATGGAAGAAAAAAACATATTGCGCCGACCCCAAATAAAACGGGACAAGGGCAGGAAGATGATGATGATAATATTAGTGTAGAAGTATAGACTAACGTTATAGACACGAAACTTCAACTATATTTATTTGTTACTATTTCACGTAAAAACTTATAGGATCTGAATGATATTTGTCACAGAGATAGATTAAAGTCTAGAATAGCCTTTAGTCTACTTTTTACCCCAGTTCCTGAGGGCGAAGGCGCAGGCTGACACTAGTATTACACTATCGCGTCTTTTTGTAATAGGATAGAAAAATCCCCTTTTTATGACGAGCAGACGGATTACCCGATGGTAAGCAATCACGCCGCCCATTGACACCCGCAACAGAGGAGTTACGAGTGCGTTGCCGACCTTTTTGGGATTAGGGATTTGGAGAGGAAGGATTGGGCCTCCGGTAACCCCACTGAACTGACGGCAACACACAAAGCTGTGGTTGTTTCACGCCGGTTTTCTTTGAGGCCGTGGTATCACTTCGGTCGAGCCGACCCATTCGTGCCGAAGCATGGTCCCCCACACTCAGCTTAGCCGGGCGAGGGGTCTCTGCTAAAATAGTAAAGAGGTTGATTTTTTGCTGATCGAGGTCAGTGGAGTGCTGTTGAAGAGAATTATGTATAGAGATAGAGAGAGATTTAATGAATAATTCTATCTCATTCTTCTCTTTGACTACACATTTGTTACAGACTTGACCCAGCTCATTTATTTTATAAACCTGACCCTTAGAAACTGTCTCCAATCTCCGTGCGAAATATAGAGGTTATGGCTATTCAACTGTTATGTAGAGGCGGTACAAGTAAGGGGACTGTCACGCCAAATCCATAAGTAAAATTATTTTAAAGTAATTAATGCAACTTCGTTATTAACAGTTAATTTTAGATTAAGAAATCATTGAAATTATTTTAGATACGTTATAATCGATTTTGCTGTGTTTTAAGACGGTAAACGAGTAGGCGGATTACCTGATGGTATGCTATGGACTCCGCCCATGGACACCAATAACATCACAGTTACGAGTGGATCTCCGTCTTTTTGGGGATTAGGGTATCAGAGTTCAAAGGATTAAGACTCCGGTAACCTCACTCACACGACGAAACACAACGCTGTGGTTGTTTCACGCCGGTTTTCAGTGAGGTCGTGGTATGAATCCAGTCGAGCCGACCCATTCGTGCCGAAGCATGGCTCTCTCACACGATATTTTTTACATGGGATTCGTAAAGTAACTAGGGAAAATTAGGATTTGTATTCTACTATAGATTTAATCCTATATCTTCAAGATTGGAAAGGCATTCTTTATAGATTTTTTGTGTGTTAAGTCGTCTTAGACTTTGTGCCACAAAATATCTGATTAACTTGTCGTTAGCTTTTTAACTAATACATAACTATTTCGTATGAAACGTATAAAGTTACATTGTCCGTCAGTTGGACTAGTCAACATATCATTGGAGACTCCACAATTAATTAATATAATTTTGAAACTAAGGCTAGGGGCTAGGAAATACGTCAAATCATCCACCAGTTAAGATTACCAGGGACTTACAATAAGGTTATAAATACAATGTCAAAGATTTTAAAGTACTAGGCTGCTATAATACTTAAGGAGGTTCAAATTGCAATACCTAACTTGCTATCTCTATAAATTCTATATTTGAATTTGTTGCCTAAGCGATACGCGTTAAGATGTTTTCGTCAAGTAAATATTATGTACATCAATTTCTTATGAGAAAATAAGTCGAATCTTTTAGAAATGTAACGAATTGTCTATTATAAAGACAGACGAAACGCTATCACTGCCTACACCATTGATATTAAAAGAAATAGTGCGTTACACGAAGCCTACCATAAAGTTACCGTTCGAATTCTGTCCCGTAACTAATTCTGTTTAAAATCTGGTAAATTTTGTTTGTTTTCATTACACGAAGAGACCATTTTACTCGAATGAGAGAGTGAAGAATTATTTGGAATGGAATCCAATAGAAAACTACTAAATACATACGAACGCATACAAGTTATCTTAAACTTTTGAACGATAAAACCCGAAGTTAGCCGACAACGGAAAAAACAAAGTTTGTTTTCGAAAAAAAAAACAACAACTCGAATCGAACGAATCGATTTTTTGTGTTTATTTATCAAAAACGCGTGTAGGAACTCTGAGGCGAGTACTAGGCGCTTATAACCTATAAGAGTATCGATTTATAAACATTCCCTCCAAAAAAACGCGTCGAACAAAAAAGGGGTTACGTGGGACCTGCTTCGGTATAAAAAAACACTGAGTACACGAGGGATAGACCTCCGTACCTCCGTTTTTGATCAGCGGCGGCCGCCCCACTCGGATAAAACCTTCTTGGATTGGGGCGAGCTACCCCGCATTTCTCCTCTCAAACAACAGTAATAACACTAGAGCCACACGCTCTTCACTTACAATGTTCCTTGTGCTTTTCTTCCTCATACGATCATAGCACGCCGTTTATACATTTACCTATTTTAATACACTACACTGACTGACACAAGCATCCTCACTTGCACGGACATTTGAGTTTTTTTTTTTTCGGGAGCGTTGTCGCGTGCTTTCGCCGGCCGGTAAACAATGCTCACGGTTTCACACTGCACTAAAACTATACTAAATGTTAATTAACGTTATTATTTACATTATTTCACTGAATAATTGCGTGTAATGTTGTGTTCGGTTCATCATAATCGCGAAGCGTGGCGCGTTTATGTGTTTCTAGCAGGTACGCGCTGTATGTGTCGCTCGATCGCACTGGTTTTTCGTTCGCCCTCGGAGGGGTCGGTACGCCGCCGCGGGGGGAACGCCTGTTTTACCGACGCGGAGTATTTCTGGACTGTTTTATCTACATTTAGAACGGACAGGTGGCGCGGTTTGTGGTTCGATGTAGATTCAGCGCTTCAAGCGATTGAAGTTTTGTTACTGAAGCTGTTCTGCTTACTTATTATTTAACTTTTTAAATATATTTTTTTATGTTATTCGCGCAGTTCATGAAATCTGTTTTAGTGAAACTATATAGTTTACAAGAGATGTACTTACCTATTATTACAGCTGAAACTTATTTTACTTATAAGACCTAAAACTTATTCTTATTTACATTAAATAGGTACCTAAAGACCTATCTTACAATATCTTCCTACATAAAACTCACAGAAACAAGTTAGCTTGGCTGCTGGTTGTCGTAATTAACTTAAAAAAATATATAGTAAACGTCTGCGCTGTGTTTCGTACTAATGAAATTTTTAAACGACCTAATAACAAATTGGTATGCCATTATTATTCAATATGATTCGGTTCCCTAAAAGTTTAATAATTTCTGACTTTTCATCCAAATTGCGTAAAAATAATAAGATGTAGGTAGGTACTTAATCTCATAAGGTAAACTGACATAGGTAGTGAACGATCCGCCTAATCATATTTACAACAGTATTTCCTTTATGCATAACACTACAAACACGGCCGTCAAATTAAAATATATATAAAATAGACAACAAGAAGTATTATAAACGCCATTTTCAATTTAAATTTTACACATAACCAACAAAAAACACAAGACAGTCGTAAACAACAAAACACATTTTACCCACAGTCGGCTAAAAATAAAGCGCTTTACCAACGTGAAGGTCAAACACCAACGATGCGGTTGTCATAAAGAGATAAATAAAAAATGATAACTTTTTTCATACTAACTAAAACACCTGAGTTCACTTGTTTTGAAGCTTAAGAATTTAAATTACTTATATCCTGTTAAGTTTTCGCTGCAAAAATATAAAATACAAAAGTTTATTTTGCAAGCGTACGGAATCATGTTAGTTCTCGTTATTTCGTATAGATGGTGTTATTCTGTTAATTTGTCCAATACTAAAATTCATTAAGAAAAATATTTTAGATACTTTTTTGGGCTATTATTGAAAACCTACTGAATATATTTACCTAGATGAAATCTAACTTATTAAGAGATTATATAACCTAGTTTGACACTCCGTGCTGTTTTCTGCAGTGCTTTGAGTAAAAATATCAAAATAATTATTTACTAAGATTTGACTTGGAAAAAATGTACCTAGGTACTTTAATTAGTTTGCTTTTTTTCTCGAATGGTCGCCCAGCAAATAGACTTGGGTTTGTGGTTCAAATAAAATATTTATTTCTATGTGGAAGAGTTAGGTATGCGTTGGAAAGAATGGTCCGAATGGTTCTATAGGCGTGATACTTCATAGAAAATTTAAGCTTTCATGTGTGTAATCAACAGAGATGCTCAAGTCAAGGGATGGGGGTCGTTACTTGGTAATTATCAATGTTCGTTTTTCTTAGGTTAGTTTTTTTATCTGATATGGTGGAAAATAAGCGCACTTATTACCGGATTATAAGCAATCGATGCCCATAGTCCATGGAACACCAGAGGAGTTTTTGAGATTATGGTTGCGAAAATGTGAAATTGCGAAATAAAATCTAATTGTCTATACTGCCTGGGCGAACAGCTATTCTTCCGTTCATGGAAGGCAAAGCTAATAGGCTTATGGTCAGTATAGACTATAAAATGGCGAGCTTCTAGCATGTGTCTAAAATATTTAATGGTTTGCACTCCTCGGCCAAGTTAATAGCTGAGAGATTTGTATGGCTAGGCGTGCGGAAAGGCTGTAGGAACTGGGCACGCGCTTGTATACCATGCCAGAGGACCAAAGTCAACCGTCACGTGACTGCTCCTCTAGGCACTTATAACTTACCGCGCGCACGGTTTAAACAGATCCATATTGATCTGGTAGGCCCTCTTCCAGTTTCCCAAGGTTATCGGTACTGTTAAACGGCCGTGGATAGATTTACACGGTGGCCAGAGGCAGTACCGATACAAGATATTACAGCGGAAACGGTGGCCAAAGCTTTGCTGTCCATATGGATATCTCGTTTTGGTTGCCCGACAGATATTGGAACTGATCGCTTGCCGATGCGCCCGCGCACCTGTGGAACCAGTCTTTCCGAGACATTGCTACGACGCGCATTTATTGTAATTCTTCCGCTATCCTAACGCTGTGTTAATTACGCTATTTCTATTTTCTACTTCTTTCTTATTACTAATATTGACTATTGCTACCACTATCTCTGTGCTGTGCTTGTGTATGTGCTTGAACTGCCCTACTGTGCCTTCTGTAAACCGTGTGTGCCGGATCGGCCAAATAAACCTGGTGATACGTGAGTCGAACTTTTATTTACACCACGGAATACCCGACACCGTCAACACACACACATCAACCCATCCAAAAGATAAACACTTTTGGAGATAGGGGAATTTTGTATTAGACCGTGGTATTCCGATCGAGATAGCCCACCCATACCGAACCAGCTCTTCCACATGTTATATCACCTAATTACCGAAATATTGTCTATGTTTATTTAGATGGGAAGGCCCGCCGCAACCTCTCCAAACGTTGCAACTCCTGTAAGCCAGGATCTACAGTAGATACAACCATGAAAACACCGGCGAACCGAAGTCCGGCGCGTCCCAACGGCATGAATGACTGTCTTGGATCCCGCAACGAAATAAATCAGAAGATATTATTTGAGGAGAAGAGAAAACGAAATAGTTTCCACTTCCCTCGGTAAATTTAATGCGGGAGACAGAATGACTTAGGCCTTAAAGGCACAGAAGAGACTATACAACTGGGAGAAGCCCAGTCACCAAACACCACGGAAAATATTGTATTGTTTTTGTAATGGGACCTATATGTGAGCTGCTATAGTTGTTTCCAGTAATAGGTATTGCAATAACGCCTAAATGCACGGAAAGTTCTATATTTTACAAGGTCAGTTTCCGTTTACTTAGATATCACATGTGGCTTAAGTGGCAAAGTAAAATATCGGGGAGAAACCTGGAATAATAACAATAAGGTACAACTACCCCGCCTTGACCAAGCGTCAACCATAGTTGAATAAGAATAAGAAATCTTTATTTGTATGAAACACGGGGTACATAGATGTAACATTTGTTATAAGTTCTGCATGTTTCGCCGTAGCATCGGCATATCGGTATTTATCAACTAGAAAAAATTAAAAACAAATAACAATTTAAAATCTTAAAAACTAATTACAATATTAAGAATTTATGGTACCTAGCCTAAACAGTTTTTTTCCTTATGAGCCATATACTCGGCCATAGAATAGAAACATTTCTCTAAAAGCCATTTCTTGAGCACATTCTTAAATTTAAACAGTGGTAGTTCCCTTACAGTTTTAGGTAGCTTGTTAAATAATCCAATGCGCAAAATATGATATGTATTTTGTATTATATTTCAAAAAGATAAAGGTATCTTTAGCTCGGAAGTTGGAGTGTTACTGATGGGTTTTTCAACTAGGCTGAGTAATGAGTGATAAGATATTTTATGTTTCATGTAAATGATTCACAATAATATAAATATTTGTTTTCTACACGTTTCTGAACGAACTGAAACGTATCAAATGAAATGTCATATTTGCCACACGTATTGATGTTGAGTGATGTATCAATATTACTAAAAGAATCGATTTGGAAAAAATTACGATTCGCCTAAAACCCCAATCATTTTAAATTGTAAACTATAGTCAGACTTTTAATTCGATTCCTGATTTGACATTGACCACTGTCATTTTGTGAAATAATGATACCACATATAACAGTGTAGTGATGGACAGTAAAATCGATAAACAATCAGTGAATCAGTTTCAGGACGGCATTCAAAAAATTACGGCTACCGAATGGTCTAAATGTGTATCCCATGTTTTCAAAGAAGAGGAAAAAATGAGTAAGCTAGATATGTTAATTGACAATAAATATCAAAGACACAATTCATAATAAATGTTACATAGAGTAACGGCGATAGCGATAGCGATGACGGCGACAATTTATAAAATGTCTGTTTTATTTGTCACGTTCCTTCATGATCACATTTTTTATTAATTTCACACACAATTACAAAAGAAAAGTCTCAGATCGTTAATTAATTGTCAAAACTAAATTATCGGTTCAGAAATATTTTATTTCCTGATAAACTTAGTTTATAAGAGTAAATTTATAAACGAGAGAAATCGATTCAGAAATATTCGATATCCATATCGAATAATTTCGCAACGTCACTATTTATTACGTGTCATAACGTTGCAACACTGAAATTGTCAAATCTGGAATGGAATTAAAATTCCGAGTATAGTACCTATATTACATAGTAAGAGGTTCATATTAATGTTTAATATAAAAACGTTGATAGTTATTACCTTCTGGATTAAAATAGGAACTTTTTATAATACTACATTATGATACTACTGCATCAATGAAGTAGTTAAAAACAAATAATTACCGTGACAGTCCGAATCTTTGATGAATCAAAGTCATCCGATCTGATCTGTGGCGACGCACACAGAAGGTTGTGTTAATAAATAATGCAAAACAATGAAATACTGAGGTTTGAAGCTGCTGCAAGTATTACAAACCTTAAAAAAGTTTTATTTTAGAAGCACACTGACAGACCACTGAAGTGGCTGACACAGTTAAATACTCTTACACAAGCTTTTTAATTAATTATAACTTAAAATTACTGAGTCATTATTAATATTACTAATCATCGTGGTGGCCCGGAGGTCAAGGCGCCTGCTTTTCATACATGAGGGTGCAGATTCGAAACCTGCACATTGGTACCAATGTGATTACCCAAGCCATATGTACTTTCTAAGATTATTTAGACACCACTGACAAATGGTGAAGGAAAATAACGTGATAAACGCCTTACTTGGACTTTAATTCCTAATTAATAGTCTGAAATCTCCAATCCGCCTTGAGCAAGCGTGGTTATTAATGCTCAAAACTTTCTCCGGGTGAGAAGAGGTCTTTTCTCAGTAGTTGGTACTAATAGGCTGATGATGATGACGTATTGTACTTAATATAGTAATCATCATCATCATATGATGATTACTATATTAAGTACAATACGTTAAGCTTTGCTAGATTGAGGCAATCTGAATTTTGAGGCGTATTATTGTAGGTTTTTTTTGTTTCACCACCATATTCATTCAGCTAGTTTTATTGGGAAATAACTCTACAAATCATAAATCTTGAAACGGCAACTTTTATCCTTAGCTACAAGACTATAAGTTTTATGATTCTTTTACATAGGATTTCAATAGTCGACTAACAAACGATCTCACATCCTGAACGTCGTACAACACTAAATCCAAAACGAAACGTCAAAACCGTTCGCGTACTGACGGTCGAAAATCGGCAATCGCGAACGCCGATCAACTAAAATAAATGAAATTAGAAATAAATTAAAAAACAAATAGTGTCAATTACAAATACATATTGTTAATTAGTTGTTATGAAGATGGTGAGGCATAGAAAAGTAGTTTCGCTTAAGACAGATAAGGACGCAAGTAGCAGTTCTGGTTGTAGCGAATCCTCCATTGGTAGTAAAACATTTAAATTCCTTTCTGTGTGGAAAACCGGCGTTGGATGTGTTTGTTTTCTTATTGCTGTGTACATCAGCACTTTAGGCTACCTAGAAACACGAGTCAATACGCCATTCGACGATGATAAGGTAAGAAAATCTTAATCAATTTACATACATTTAATTTCGAATTTCCTATATCAACACGGCCGGAGTTTTTATAATTTACGTTCAATAAATTCTTTTCTTGAAAATTATTTTTTTTCTCAATTTTTCTGGTTAGTTTTAATTCAAATTTCATTATATCCCTGCAGACAAACTTAAAATGAGTCGCAAGACATTTATAATTTAATAACAACTCGCATTTTGGCTTCTCTTCCTCATCACAACCACTTTCCAACACAAGAACTGTAGTATTAAGTCCAGTGTTTTAACAAGTAGTTAATATACTAAAAAATACTATGCCTATTCTAGAATTGCAAAGAAAAATATTGTATTGTAATGAAGGCAAAGCCACTAGCGGGAATTATTGTAACATAATTCAGTTCTGCTGAAATTTTAGTTTAACCAGTTTTAGTACATTTATTATGTTTGTTTCTTCATAATAAATTAGTATTATGTATGTTATAATGCACTGGCTTATCCGGAGTGGTACAGTGCGGCCGACGTATCTTGGCGAGTCTGAAGTTAGCCGTTTGTCTGGGCAATGGATCTTTTAGGAACAAAATTGTCTATTGCGCAGCTAATCGGCTAACTTCAGACTTGCCAAGATACGTCGGCCGCACTGTACCACAGTATGTTTCTAAATGTGTGAGTGAAATCCCCAATCTGGGGTAAAATTCTTTGGCCTCAAATCCCAAATAATTTTTTTTTTTTTTTTTTTTCTATGTAATAGGTCGGCAAACGAGCAGACGGATTACCTGATGGTAAGCAATCAGCGCCGCCCATGGACACTCGCAACGGCGGAGTTACGAGTGCGTTGCCGACCTTTTAGGGATTAGGGATTTGGAGATTTAGGGATTGAGGAGGGATTGGGGAAGGGGAAGGATTGGGCCTCCGGTAAAATTTACAATTACATATAATTTACAAGAGGCCATCCCATGGTATTGGAAGTGTCAATAGGCGGCGCCAATTACTTATCATCAGGTAATCTGTCTGCTCGTTTGATGATCTATGCCATAAAATAAAGCATAACACAGTTTACTTAAGATAATTCTTTAGTTATGTGTCTGTTAATCTTCAACAAGATTAACTGTAATCTCATTTACAATGATATAACTGTCCCAGCTATCTTTATGTGCATTATCATCATGCAAGAGAAAGTGGAAGAGCCAAGCTTCAGCACAAATTTTGTAACTTTAATAATTTTCTGTAATTGGCTAGTTTCCTAGGTTAAAAATAAATTAATTTGATGTTTCAATACAATAAAATATTGAGAAATAACTACACTTTTATTCATCCATCGATCGACACACTAAATTTTAGATATTATTTAACAAATTTTTAAGAAATAACTCAGAAATCAGAACAAACCAGAAGTCGCGTTTACTCATAATTACATGTCGTCAAATGTGTCCAAAAACAATACGTCAATCCCCCCGCCAGCCGCACTTCCCACCCGCGTAGTGTTGCCGACAGAGGAACAATTCCCTTGGTTCGGGGTAATTTTACAACAGGAGGGTAAGATATATTTTGTTGGGTAAACCCAAAAAAATACGTAAACTTACTATAAATGTTAATGTTAATTTTAGTTACACCTACTATACACAACAAATAAAACAAAGCTTCAATAAGTGCGAAGGTTTAGCTTTTGCTGGTTTAGTTTTTTATAATATGTATTGTCTTTAGACTCGGAACTAAAGATTAGAAGTCTACTTACTTTACTTAGTTCCTGAGATTAGCGAATTCAAGCAAACAAACTCTTCAGCATTATAATTAGTATACCTATAGATATATCTTAGTAGGAAATGCTGTTCAAACCACCTTTGTCATAAATACATATATCTCTTCAAAGTAAATTGAGCAAACTATGCTCTGGCTAGATGGTTTCCAAAATGAATCTAGCCGTGCCTTTTGTATGATTTTTAATTTTTTTGTTAGATAATGGACAGAAATATAACCCACAAAAAATAAATAAGTGGGTAAAATTTTCACCAAAAATGACAACACTCACAAAATGGCCAAATAATTTTCATAGAAAAATAAATCGATTAAAAAAATTCAATAATTAATTAAATATACTATTGCAGTCGATGCTTGCAGATGAAATGTAATCTTATCCACTTTTTTCGTATTTCCAGCCGCATTTTTACTCGTAGTAATAACACAAGACGGCATAATGAAATTAAAATTGATACTCGTAAATACGTCACGACATGCCACGAGCCAAAATTGACTAATCGTAGAAATTTCATACTACTATAGTAAAGAGTGGTTTTAGTTGCTTCTGTTTTAAGCGCGATAACGCCTTCTGGTTTGTTCTGTATTCTGAGAGAAATAAGTAAGTTATTAGCCGCAAAAATGCAATGACGTCATGACTCAGCATTTCATAAAATTTTCTTAAATAGTATAATTTTTTACATTTGGATGAAAGTATTGAATTTGACTAGTTGGAAACTATCGTGTTGTGTAAATGTCAGGGTACCAATCACTGCTAAACTAACTACTAACTACATTGTAAAATAATGCAATATTTTTTGTTGTAACTACCTTAATAATTAAATATAATGGGTCAACTTCACCAGAATACTACCATGGTCTTACAGAAAACTGGGGTGATAAAACTATAGCATTGTCATGTGAGTGAGTCATGTGAGTGAGATTAACAGAGGCCTCCCTTTCCTACCGCCATCCTTCAATCTCTGAAACCCTAATCATCAACTTCGACAACACACTCGGTTTTTTTTTTATTTGTCATCAGTATCTGCAATATTCTTACAAGAAAAGCCATGAGTATAAATGTGGATGGATGGAGAGGGAGAGGGAGACTAAAGAAAATATGGATGGATTGTGTGAGAAGTGATATGGAAGACAGAGGAGTCAGTGATAGCGTGACGGGTGACAGGACAGAATGGAAGAAAAAACCATATTGTGCCGACCCTAATTATAACGGGACAAGGGCAGGAAGATGATGATGATATCTGCATTATTCTTAATTGATATTATTGCTGATATTCACCATTATAGCTAGCTAGCTAGCTTTGTCTACGGGATGTTTGATCAACTGCAAAGTGGAATGTTTGTTAAGATAAATATTTTTACTAGTATCGAATTGATACCTATGGTCTCGGTTTGGTATGGTACTCATAAAAGTGAGTATTACTGCTTTTGCCCGCGATTCCGTTCGCGTGGAATAGTGACTTCCTGCAGATTTTTGGTATGAAAACTATCCTATGTCCTTTCTCGAGTTCCAAACTATGTCTGTACCAAATTTCACAGAATTCGGTTCAGTAGTTTAGGCATGAAGAAAAGACAGACAGGCAGATTGTATGTAAGGTTAACCATTACCGAGGGAGGCGGAACCCGTGAGGAAATTAATCTTGTCATGCCCCAGACATCGTAGAGGACGCTTCAGGCGTCGGAGATCGCGCAACAATCTCAAAATATAGTATCCTCGTAATCTTTGTAAAGAAAACGCTAAATTCAGTGCGGTTTCTCAGAATGGCAGAGTTATCTGTACACTCTTTAGTTATACCATTATAACAGTCTCATCTGGACATCTCCACATCTCCCGAACATCATTTAATCATACTAAACCTATATTCATGTAAAATGTCGTGGTGGCCTGAGATTTAGGTGCCCGCTTCTCATGCATGAGGGTTCGGAACCTGGTTAGTACTGTGTAGTAATGTGACTTTTGCCGAGTAATATGTACTTTCTATGATTATTTAGACACCACTGACATACGGTGAAGGAAAACATCAAGAGGAAACCTTTTTCACGTAGCGGGCAAATCATCGAATTACTTCTCCCGCCCGGGGTGAGGCCGGAGGGAGTGTCAGGCTCCTACTGAGTAAAAACTCCTCCGTTTCTTCTCCAGGTTTAGGCATTAAGCCGCAACCTTACCTAACTTATTGCGCCAACCCTGCAACTCTGGCTGAATCGAAATCGCCAATCCGCCGTGAGCTAGCGTGGTGATTAATACTCAAACCTTTTCCGTGTGAAATGAGGCCTTTGCTCAGCAGTGGTCACTTATAGGCTGATGATGATAAAACTTACCTACCTATATTCTATTTTTTTCAGGTTGTGAAAGATACCGGGCTACAAGTGGCAGACCGCTACTGGGGGACGTACAGGCCAGGGGTCTACCTTGGTCTGAAGAGCAGGGAGCCACGGTCTCCTGTCTTCGGTATTATGTGGTATGAACTAGCCGCAGCCACGCATAAGGGGATTCGGTGAGTTTTAATGATTTATTTTTCAATTAGCATTTGCCCGCGACTTTGTTCGTGTGGAATAGTGACTTCTGCAGATTTTTGCTGTTTATAAACTATCCGATGTCCTTTCTCGAGTTCCAAACTGTGTCTGCCCCAAATTTCATACAAATGGGTTCAGTAGTTTAGGCCTAAAAAAAGTTACTCCAGTCGAGTCGACCTATTCGAATCTCGGCTCTTATACAATTAAAGTTTTAAAATAAGTAAATAAAATATTTTTTCAGCCACTGGTGCGATCAAAATGATAACTTAGATACTTACGGTTGGCTCCGACACGATGGGGTCTCGTTTGGGGAGCAATTGATAGTTGATAAACCCCATAATATCACCACATCCTTCATTAAGATCCCGGGCGGAGAGCACGGGGGTCATTGGACAGCTAGAATTAATGTTACCACTAAGGTAAGGAAGTATTGGAATACTTTTTTAATATTTTATTTTCTAAGATTATTGTGACATCACTGGCATTATGGTAAAGGGAAAAATCGCGAGGAAACCTGGACTTATAGTGTTTGGAATCGCCAAAATCTCCGGCCACCGTAAGCGCGGGTCTGCGGACGGTGAGCAAGGGTAGCTCGCCGCCGAACCAGATCCAGACCCGAGCATAAGCGCGTGCCTCAAAGAGCCAATAAATCACCACAGATGGCCTTATAAGGCTGATGTTTAGCCGGGGTTGCGGGGTAAGCGCAATGAGGCACCGCGACCTCGGCCCAGAACGGGGCGTTTTTAGTCAGCATGAGTCTGACACTCTCTTTCGCCCGCGGGAGAAGTCATTTGATGATTTTCCCCTGACAAAAAAACAGACTGATAACTTGATGGAAAGCAAGCGGCTCTGCCCATATATACCCGCAACACTAAAAGAGGAGATTTTGGAGATTTAAGGATTAGGGTGGGTTTAGAGGAGGGGAAGGAATTGGGCCTCCGTTACCTCATTCACACGGCGAAACACGACGCTGTGATTGTTTCACGCCGGTTTTCTGCGAGGCTCTGGTATCCCAGTCGAACTGATCCATTCGTGCTGAAGCATGGCTCTCCCACATTCTTTCTTCTTATTCTTACTTTATTTTCCAGGGTCATGCAAAAGTACCATTCGTGTTGGTTTGGTACGCAGCGCTAGACGAGTCCTTGGGCCCTGCCGCCCCCCATTCGAGGCTGTGGTACGAAGATGGCTCCATTTTAGGCCATACACCACAGCTGCACAACTTCAGAATAAACCTGATTCCTCAACAAGGTATGTTTAAATAACGATGAAGTTCAACTAGTCAGATTTATAATTTAATCCTTATTTGAATCCTACTAATCCTACCAATCCTACCGATCCTATCAATCCTACCAATCCTACAAATCCTACTATTCTACCATCCTACTAATCCTACTATCCTACCAAAGCTAATAATCCTACAAATTCATTCTTTCTTTTTCTTTTTTTTAAATGTTGCTCCACCTCCTTTATTTTTCTTTTTTTTTAAACGTTGCCCCACTATAATATTTGCTCCTGTGTCAGCCATAGCACCAACCGTGCAGTTATATACATATAATTATTAAAATATGGTGCGGTAAGGATAGTCCTTATTTTTTAAAAAGAGTAACGATGGAGTTTCTTGTTCGTCCTTCTCCATTCGAATCTGCAATTTGGAATGAGCACATAGCTTCCCTGACGAACAGACTGACAGACTACTATTCTATTTTGACGTTTCAAAAGTACCTATTTATGGTTTTGTTGGAATAAAAGATTTTGATTTGATTGATTTGAATTGATTTGAGTCTAAATAGTATTTGTCACCGCCCTTGCAATTTGCAGGAGCAAATCCTAGTGTAGGGCATCATCATCATCAGCCTATAAGTGCCCATTGCTGAGCAAAGGCCTCTTCTCATACGGAGAAGATTAGAGCATTCATCACCACGTTTGCTTAATGCGGGTTGGCGATTTCAAATTTATAATTAAAAATTATAAGTCCAGGTTTCCTTACGATGTTTACGTTCACCGTATATCAGTGGTGTCTAAATAATCATAGAAAGTACATATAACTCGGAAAAAGTCACATTGGTACTTGCCAGGTTTCGAACCCACATGCATGAAAAGCAGGCTCCTTAACCTTCGGGCCACTACGATTGAGTGTAGGGCAACGTTTTATAAAATAAAATATGTCTGCTATTAACCTACTAGAACTTATATTTTTATAATTACCAGGTAAACTCCTCCATACTTCATACTCTGAGGCGAATGCACCAGGGCTTCATCTTCTTAAGGAGAAGCTTTATTCCCTACTCAAGATTGAAAGGCATTCCCTCTTCGGTAAACTGGCTGTGTTAGGAGCTGATGATGAACTGCATATCAAGGTTGGTACCTATATTTTTAGTGGATAGTAGATAGTATAGGTGAACGAGGTCTAGTATTACCTGATGGTAAGCAATCGATGCCTTCCATGGACACCAGAAAAATATATACCTAACTGCGATCCCGGTCTTTTAGGGGGATCTGAGGATGCGATACGGGTCTTTTACGAAGACTTGAGAGTGTGATCCATGTCTTTAAGAGGGATCTGAAGATGTGATCCCGATCTATTAGGGGGATTTTAGAATGCGATACCGGTCTTTTACGGGAATTCGTGGATGTGATCCCGGCCTTTTAGGTGGATTTTAGGAAGATTCCGGTCTTTTACGACGATTCGAGAACGCGATCCCGGTCTTTTAAGGGGATCTAGGGATGCGATCCGGGTCTTTTAGTTCGATTTGAGGATGTGATCTCGGTCTTTTACCGGGATTTGTAGATGCTATCCCAGTCTTTTATGGGGATTTGAGAACGCGATCCCGGTATTTTAGGGGGATTTGTGGATGCGATCCCGGTATTTTAGATCGATTTGAGGATGTGATATCGGTTCTCTGAGGATTGCAGAATTTAATTACAACAAAATACATTTCTTCTTTTCAGGAAAAAGACATCAATTTCGTTCCAATACAGATGCTTGTAGAGACGCCATTTTGCGTAGATATTGTGTATACCACAGAAGACCTTTCAACCCCACCTCTCAAGGGGGAGAAATACGCTAAGGTTCTAGAAGAGAAGAAAAATGTATTCGATTCAGAATTTGAATCGAAATTCAAACTTGATGAAAAAGGGTAAGTTTTTATAAAATCTAAATTTGTTAACGTTGCCCCACCTAGGACTTTCTCCTGTGTCGTGGGTGCGTTTACAAACATACAATTTCACATACACAGCACACCCAGACACGGAACAACAATTTGTGGATCACACAAAGAGTTGTTCCGTGTGGGGATCGAACCCGCGGCACGTTGCGCGACAGCCAGTTTCCCAGCTATCAAGCCATAAATTTATTTAAATTTAACATTGATAAAACTGAAATTATGTTGTATATACTAGCTTCCGCCCGCGGCTTCGCCCGCGTGATATGTTGATAAAAAGTAGCTTATGTCCGATTCCGAAGTGCCTCCAATGTCTGTGCCAAAAGTGACATTACTCAACATACAATTTTGAATGAAATTCGTATATTTTTTTTTATAATTGCTCGAAAAATATATAATTTGACATTTTTCCCTAGTTACCCGCCAGAGGACGTGGCGATAGCCAGAGCAGCGCTCGCCAATATGGTCGGTGGGATTGGATATTTCTTCGGAGCTGGTCGAGTCCAATCTCAATATACCAGGGAACCAGTGCCTTATTGGAGGGCGCCGTTGTACACTGGAGTACCTAGCAGGTATTTATTAGTATTATCATGATCCCTCTTTCCAGCTAAAACAACTTCTGAGAAAAGGCCTCTTCGTACTGAAGAAGTTTTAAGCATTGATCACCACGCTTGGTCAAGGTGAATTGGTGATTTCAAAATTTTGTGCAGTTTACTAAGTCGAAAATAAATTGTTTTAACTTTTTCTTAATACAATGAATTTTTTTTAAGAGATAGGTCTGCAAACAATGTACGGATTAGAAATACAGAATTTGAAAAAAGTCACATTTACCGGAATCCCAATCTTTCCCCTCCTCCCATATCTAAATCTCCAAAACCCAAATCCCATAAGGTCGGCGGGTATCCATGGGTGACGCTGATTGCTTACCATCAGGTAATACGTCTGCCCGTTTGCCGTCCAATCACATACAAGTGTCAGACAAGTGACTTTTTTACCATTTTACGCAATGCAGGTCTTTCTTCCCTCGTGGTTTCCTCTGGGACGAAGGTTTCCACGGTCTCCTGATTGGGCGCTGGTCTCCGGACATACAGATGGACATCGCTGCCCACTGGATGGACCTCATCAACGTTGAAGGATGGATTCCTAGAGAACAAATTTTGGGTGAGTTTTTTCTTCGTATTACCTGAAGGTAAGCTATCGGCATATGCAACACCAGAGGACATAAGTGCGTTTTCGGGTTTTTGGAGGAGGGGGAAATGCTGATATTCCATAGCTGATGTTCCATCCATCATCATCATCAGCCTATAAGTGTCCACTGCTCAGCAAAAGCCTCTTCTCACACGGAGACGGTTTGAGCATTAACCACCACCCTTGCTCAAGGCAGATTGGCGATTTCGAACCAGGTAGTCGAGGTTTCCTCACGATGTTTTCCTTCACCGTATGTCAGTGGTGTCTAAATAATCATAGAAAGTACATATAACTCGGAAAAAGTCACATTGGTACCTGCCAGGTTTTGAACCCCTCATGCATGAGAAGCGGGCGCCTTAACCTCCGCGCAAATTAGGTTATATCTATCAGTTAATTATTAGCAGAAACTTATCAAACATTTACCTCTCACCTACCAGGAGCGGAGGCGTTAGCAAGAGTACCCAAAGAATTCGTAGTACAAAGCAACGCGGCCGCCAACCCACCAATGTTGTTGATCCAGCTCGCCCACTTCGTCAAGATACGACCGGAGCTCTTCGTGACTGGTTCTAAACATCGAGCGACGTTGGACAGAATGTTCAGTCGGTTACAGGTGAGCTCTTACTGTGCTATGCGCGCCTAGTACTTTCCCTCAAGAGCTATGAAATATTGCTGCAATGTTTTTGTTTATCTATTACTAATAATATAAAGAGGTAAAATTTGTAAGTTTGTATGTAGGGGGTAATCTTTGGAACCGCTGTTCGGATTGCTAAAATTCTTTCACTGATAGATAGCTACAATGTTCCTGAGTGCTATAGGCTATAAAACATCACGCTAAGATTAAATAGAGCCGAGCAGCGGGTGATGCCGCGCAAGAGTAGCTAGTTTGGTATATTTTATGGCATATTAGTATGGGATACCCGCTAGAAAATTTGAGATGGTGACAAGTAAAGAGCTAGTAACTAGTAGTACAAGTCAAGCTACCAATTTTGTTATTAATTCTGATTCAGCCTGAGCTCTTCGCAGCAACTGGTACAAACATCAGACGACTTTGGACAGAATGTCCAGTAGGTTACAGGTGAGCTCCTACTGTGTTATGCGCGCCTAGTACTTCCCATCAAGATATGTAAAGATATTGCTTCAACGTTTTTGTTTATTTGGGTACGGGATACCCGCGAGAAGAGTTGAGATGGTTACAAATAAAAAGTTTTATGTAGTACATACATCGATCACTAATAAAGTTCTTTATTAGTGATCGATGAGTACATATCAAGCTACCAATTTTATTATTGATTATACGTCCGGGGTTCTTCGTAACTGGTTCAAACATCAAACGACTTTGGACAGAATCTTCAGTAGGTTGCAGGTTAAACTCTTACCGTGTTATACGCGCCTGGTACTTCCGATCAATTGTTATGAAGAAAGGTTCATTAACAATGAGCACTTACTTTACCAGCCAACCTAGTCTGGTCCGTTAGACTGGATATACGATCCCAGTAATGCCTCCTCTACACGTAGACAGATTTGTCTGCAGACGTCCGCAGACGCATCCGCAGATGAATCTCTACGAGCCGTCCACACGTCGCCAGGTCGTTCAGTCTATGTTGGTTCTCGTCAGATGCAACACGTACGCACGCAGAATGGATATCGAGACCGTTGCTGCCGCAGCTATTAATTTATTTTGTACTTACAAGTATTATTTAAGCGTCTATCGCAATAGGGTTATTAAAAAAAAATGGAGAAGAAGAAGGTGGTGGATGCTGACTATACATAGAAACCGAACAAAGTAAGTGGGATTTTTTTATTCATAATATAACTTGTACGCTTTTTAATCGACTTCAAAAAAAAGAAGGTTCTCAGTTTGACCTGTATGTTTGTATGTATGTTTGCGGTTTTCATAAATTTGTTACATTTAGGTAGAGGTTATAGTATATAATACTTCTTAGTTTAATGATGACCTTCGGCAATATACTTGGATATTCTTACGGGTTAGTGTTTTTGAAGTCGGTTCTCTTTTCTAAAAAGTTTTTTTTAACGTAGGTAACGACTTCTTACATTACTCTGTTTCTTCGCAGGAATAGCATGGAAAACCAGTTTGCAGAACTATATGCAGAGCCCTCTGGAGAATTTAATAATTTTGTTCGAATGTCTAGCAGCGATTTTGAATATTTACTACAAAAGATATCTCCAACGATTGCTAAAAAAGATACAGATTGGAGGGATGCCATTCCAGTGAAAGTGCGTTTGGCAGTAACATTAAGATATTTAGCTACTGGTGATAGCTATAGAAGCTTGCATTACCTGTTTAAAATTTCAAGCCAAGTTATATCCATTATTGTTCCTGAAGTATGTTTAGCGCTCAATAACGTGTTAAAGGATTTAGTGAAGGTAAACCACATAATTTAATCCAAAATCTTTATTATTAATTGTATTGTAATGAATAATCAACAGTTTACAAAAAACTTTGCTTTGACAAATAGGTAAGTAGGTACTTTCAGTTTGCTTTGACAAATTAAGGGTGATCGGTGTTATTATCGTCCGTCATATTTAAACAGCTTTCGTAATACATTTTACTTGTTTGTGGTACAAGTACTTCTTGTGAAATAATGTTAACCATTTCGGTTTGTTGATTGGCCATATTTTGTGGTGGTGACTGAACTGAATGGGGGGAGTCTACTACGTATATAGGTGACGGTGTTGATGGATACATGCTGTTGCTCGTGCTAGGTCGACTGAGGATTATTTGTGAAGGAGAAGAAACAGCATATGATCTACCCTGCATCGTGTTGTAACGACGACGTCTGTTCATCATAACACCATGAAGCTCGTACATTATTTCTTCCCTTTCAAGTTTTGGATACTCCCTTATTTGTTTTGCCAACATTTTACAAAATAAATTGCATTCGTCTTCTTCTTTTATGTTTTCTTTGTTAGCCAATGCTTTATTTAATGCTGTAAAAGCAGTACTCATTTTTTTATTGGCTTCTTGCATTTCGGGTGGATCTTTAGCACGACGTTTTTGTGACTGAATAATTGGTTTGTTTTGAGATGTAGTAGGGATGTTGGCATCATTATGGTCTTCGTTTTTAGCATCCGGAATATTATCACTAACCTGCACGTTAGAAGCGCTACCCTCTTCATACAAATCAGGTTGTGTCTGGGAAAGAAAAAATTCAATAAAAATATATTTAAATAATAATATTACATTAAAGAGCAAACCAGCGTTTTTTTTTTTTAAATTGACTATATATTTTTATTTTCAGATACCTAACACTACGGATGAATGGCTTGCAAAGGCAAAAGGATTTAATTTTCCTCATTGTATTGGCGCTTTAGATGGGAAACATGTCATGATTCTACCGCCACCCAATACCGCAACGGAGTACTTCAATTATAAAGGGCATTTCAGTATTGTACTCTTAGCACTAGTTGATAGTGACTACTGCTTTATGTTTGTAGATATAGGTTGCCCAGGGCGAATTAGCGATGGTGGAGTCTATAATCAAAGTGTTTTAAAGCAAAAAATTGACACAAATGTGATCAACTTGCCTTCTCCTAGTTGCTTACCCAATAGTAATACAAGCTTACCCTACGTATTTTTAGCTGATGCCGCATTTGCATTGAGTACACATATTATGAAACCATTTCCAGGGCATCACGCTCTTGGTACTCCAGAGAGATTATTCAATCAAAAGCTCTCTAGTTCGCGTGTAGCAGTCGAAAATACTTTTGGTATAATGTCTAGCGTATTCAGAATTTTCAAAAAGCCTATACCCTTGAATATCACTAAAGCATCTTTAATTACAATGACATGTGTCTTGTTACACAATTTCTTAAGAAAAAGTAAAACATCTCAACATTTGTACAGTCCCCCAAATTCAGAAGATAAGTATCTCAATGGAGAATTAATCCAACCAGGGTCTTGGAGACAAAATTACACGGGAACATTCGATCCACTGCAACCTATACCTCGAAGAGCGCCTGCATGTGCAGTTGAAACGCGATTAAAATTTACCAGATATATTAACGAGAATAACCATTAATTCAAAAGTACCTAGTAATCTAGTAGTATCTAAATACCTATAAATTTAAGATAAGTATATAGAAATGTATGTTGTGTTGGCTACTCAAATAAATAAATAATCCAAAAATAAAGAATGTTTTATTTTTACTTACTTTTTCCTCTGTATTTAGAATACTTGTGGATTCGTAAACATCTGTTAAAAACGCAGCCATCACATCGTAAAATATCCATATGGGCTGATACACATCCTCTGTTCCCGCCCCTGACCGAATGGATGCATTTCTTTTTTTTAAATTCGTTCTAAATGTACTAAGAAGATTATCTTTTTTCTTTTTTAACTCATGCACTGGAATGCCCATCGTATCAGCAATACGTTTCCATGAATCATTAATCTGAAAAAATAAAATAAGTAAGTATAATCATTGTGGTTATATCAATGGGCATAATAACAGGTGGTCAAAATAAGTTGTCGTGTGTCGCGTTAACACGATCAAAATACCACATTGTTAATATCTAATAACCAATTTACAGTAAACTCAACTGAATTTGTAAGTAGATAGTTAAATAAAATGAATGAATTGTGTACTTACAACATTTTTATTTTTGTGGTATTTATTTTTGGGATTCCACAGGCAGTTTTCTGCTTGATACAGCTCCAGAAATTTAAATGTTTCCTCTGTGCTCATGTTTGCCATTTCAACAAGCAAGAAAAAAACGGCGGTAGGTAAAAAAGAACGGCGAAAATCACGCGTGCACTCTCACTCGCTTCCCGCTGAACACTGATGCGTCGTCAGACGTGTGGACACACCGCACGCTCGCGCCGGGCGCCCGCGCCAGATCCCTTTGATCCGTGCAACAAAAACCGACAACAAACGGATAAGTGCCGGACGCGTCTGCCGACGTCAAATACCTACCACAGACGAGCAAATCACTCCCTCTACACGTAGGCGGACGCGTCCGCCGATGGTATCGGCGGACGCGTCCGCCTACGTGTAGAGGGAGGCATAAGAAGGACAGGGTTAGCGACAAGTGACAAAAAGTACAATCAACCCGCAAAATATTCTGGACGACTCTTCATACTTCTTTCTTCCCCGACGTTGGATGCTTTGTTAGTCGGTTGAATTGTGATGAAACCTCCTATAGTGTTATGCGCGCCTAGTACTTCTGATAAAGAATACTGATATTACGGCATCGCCCAACGCTGGATTGAAAGAATGTTCAGTCCATTATGTATTGTGACTTTCTACTGTTTAATGTGCCCCTGGTACTTCTGATTAAGTGTAGTGAAGGAAATGATCGAGCTTTTTGCTTTATCATAGAGTTACTAGGTTTCCCCACCCAGTCTGTCTACATGTCATTGTAGTCCAATAGGTGCCAATAGTCTGGGTGTTAAACACCCGTGGGAAGAGAAGGTCAAAGGAACTCACCAATTGTTGATCTCTCTCACCCACTTCATGAGTTCCAAGCATGCATCGCCCAACGTTCGCGTTGTATAAATAGTATGTTCAGTCGGTTTTGGGTACAAAAGGAGTATTATGACCTCCTATTGTTTGACGCGCGCCTGGTACTTTTAACTGCGTAATGAACAAAAGTTTTAAGTGTGGTTTTGGGTATGCGATACCCGCTGGGAGAGTAGTACAAAGCAACTCACCAATATTGTTGATCCCACTCGACCACTTCTTGAAGAGACAGCCGGAGTTCTTTATAATTGAATGTTAATTATGTCGGTTGTAACTCAATGTTGAGCTCTTGCTGTCACATGGGCGCCTAGTACTTTTGATTAAGAGCAACGAAAAAATTGGTGAAGTTGCTGCGCTACTTTCCCTCCGAGTACACCACATCTGGGTCTTTAGTCTGGGTACACTGCACCCGCCGGAAGAGGAGGTTTGAGTTAAAATTGTGTTCTACTACGATCACCATATCACATATTTAGTTAACTTTGCCCTTTGTTCTCAGGCCTGGTACCAATGGTTCCAGACGACCCAAAAGGGAGACGAGCCCACCTCCTACAGATGGAGAGGTCGTGAAGATGATGGGCTGCAGCTTAACCCCAAAACATTAACTTCTGGACTTGATGACTATCCCAGGTAAGTTTTCATCCCGAGCGTACGGCGCGTAGCGTTCTGCGCGCGCCTCAAAGACCCAATAGACCACCACAGACCCTATAGAGCTGATGTTCAGCCGGAGTTGCGGGGTAAGAGCAATGATTCACCGCGGCCTCGGCCCAGAGCAGGAGAAGGAACGGCAGGTTTTTAGTCTGTAAGAGTCTGACACTCTCTCTCGCCTTACCCTAGGCGGGAGAAGTCATTTGATGATTTTCCTCTGACAAAAAAAGGTAAGCTTCATCATCATCACCAGCTAAGAAAAATCCGGCGTGAAAGAATAACATTGTTGTGACCGTGTGAGTGGGGTTACCGGAGGCCTAAATCTTTCATCCCCTCTACCAGTCCAGTTTTTGGTGATTAGGTTATAGAGGATTTTGCAATGCAACTGTAACTCCTCTGGTGTTGCGGATATCCTTGGGCGGCGACAATAGCTTACCATCAGGTAATCCGTAAGCTCGTTTGCCAAAGTATTCCATAAAAAAACATAATAACAGCCCAAGATCGCCTACATCTGGAAATGATTCCTTTCTATGGGATCGGGTACGGAACGCCCACAACACCAGAGGAAGTATATTTTCATCTGATAATTTTTCAGTGGACACTTATACGCTGATGATATCTCCGATGTATAACCGGCTGAAGAAGAGTAACCATGGAGTTTCTTTCTCGTTCTTCTCTATAGGAATCTACACGGAACGAGCAAATAGCTTCACTAGAGGACTGACCGACAGACTGACACTAATTTTACCCCTACAAATACCTATATAATACCCGCAAACATTTTAAGTATGGATACGTATTTGTAACTCTTTCACGTAAAACTACTGTGAAAAACTGAATTAAATTTGGCACAGAGATAGAACCGTTTGAGTGATTTCCCAATTTCATAAAAAAAACCGTCGAGTGCTACCGGTGCAAAAAAAATGGCGCCGCGCCGCGCCAGATGGCCGAGGTCACAAGATGTTTATTGTTTTGTGACGTGTCGGTAATATAAGTCGCCTCAAGTAATGTTTTTATTCAAGCTAATGAATGACTCTTTCAAGTCGTTCAAGTATTTGTTGACATTAAGTAAACAATGACTATAGTTGAAAATGATTGTTTGAACTTTAAAAAAGATTATTTTTAAAAGCTAAGCGGTAACATATATATTTATGACTTGTAATGGTGGAAGGATTCTATCTACACACGAATAAATAATAAGAACCTACTTAAACACAATTGATTTGTAATAAAATTAGCCCGAGATAACACCCGCCAAACGCGCGAGAACCAACAACTGACTTTGACAGTATTTTTTTTATTCCGAATGAACCAGTGTTGTACTACTGTCGTATTTTTAGCATGAAGAAATGTATTAAGATTCGAGTAGAAAAGAGAAAAAGTATTAAAACACCGTGTGATAGAAAGAAATATATTATGATGTCGTATCGCACTGGAACGGAAAAAGGGACAATAGTCACTTGTAGCACTCAACGGTAAAAACAAAAAAGGGTTTGTCCCTTTTTTGAGTCCCTTTGAGCACTCAAGGGGAATGACACATGGACTACTTTTTACCCTGGTCATCGACCGAAATCGCTGGCAGAAGTTTTTGAATGTTTTGTTTGCGTTTTAATAGTGCCTTACTTATGATATTCTCATGGCTTCCCGTTTTAGGGCTTCTCATCCATCGGACATAGAGCGCCACGTGGACCTTCGATGCTGGATGTACGCCGCCGCAGACGCTATGATGACCATCGCCGACTTACTGCAGCGGGACTCCAGCAAGTAAGGAACTTATATTACTAGAGATCACCATAAATAATAAACTAGATTTTTCCACTATTTAACTGATATCATTATACATATAAACCTTCCTCTTCAATCACTCTATGTATCAATTCTTTTACTGTTAGATAGCTACAATGTTCCTGAGTGCTATAGGCTATAAATTATACTTGATTTGCGTATTTCAGTCGAGCTATCGCTTCAAACGCTGCTGTTAAAATCCTAAAATCCAAAAATTAATTAATTATTTTATGGTTTCATTCTTGATCTACTTAATCTATTATAACATCCCTTATTTCTAAACAGGTATGAAGCCACAAAAGACCAGCTAGGCGATGAAGACCTACTCAATGAGCTCCACTGGTCTACCCACACACAAACATACGCAGACTATGGTAAGTACTTGTGAACCTCGCTACCATCAGTTGACTGGACAATCTCTACACTACATGAGTCGCTGTTTACATGTCAACATTAGCTCATGAAGATACCAGCGTACGTGTGTCACTGGACAGTGAACCTCGCTACCATCAGTTGACTGGACAATCTCTACACTACATGAGTCGCTGTTTACATGTCAACATTAGCTCATGACGATACTAGCGTACGTGTGTCACTGGACAGTGAACCTCGCTACCATCAGTTGACTGGACAATCTCTACACTACATGAGTCGCTGTTTACATGTCAACATTAGCTCATGACGATACCAGCGTACGTGTGTCACTGGACAGTGAACCTCGCTACCATCAGTTGACTGGACAATCTCTACACTACATGAGTCGCTGTTTACATGTCAACATTAGCTCATGGCGATACCAGCGTACGTGTGTCACTGGACAGTGAACCTCGCTACCATCAGTTGACTGGACAATCTCTAGACTACTGAAAGCCAATCACTCCGTGCGTGGAGCCGTTTGCTGATCGAATAGCTAACGATATAACGCGCCTCAAATAACCACTTAATATACCCCAAATCTATACTAATAAAGCTGGTGAGTTTAATTGTTTCCTTGGACGCGCTAATCTCTGTAACTACTGCATTGATTTAAACAATTCATTTCGTGTTGGATAGTCAATTTATCGAAAAAGGCTATATTATATAAAACATTACGCTATGACTTAATATTAGCTGGGTAACGGATGGCACGAGTTTTGTTACAATTATAGTAACTATCGAGACGTTCTAAGCCTATTGAAAAGCTGCTCAGCTCCTACAGGTCATAGCGTTGATATTTTATAGCCTATCCTATATATGTATAGCCTTCGTCGATAAATGAGCTAATAAACACAAAAAGAATTGTCCAATTTAAACTAGAAGTTCCGGAGGTTAGCGCGTTCAAACAAACAAACAAACTATTCAGCTTTATAATAAACTTCATAATATCGACTTCCTCACGTGAATTAACTTAGAATAGCTTTACAAGTTTTAAGTCACAGCGGGACTCTTATTCATAAGAAATTCCGGTCTTCCAGGTCTTCACACCGACGGAGTGAAATTGGTTCGTCAACAACCGAAGAATCCGTCGGAGCAAGCGAAGGTCGTGAGGAGTGTCACCGTCCCTCCACAACCCAGACTGGTGACGTCGGCATTTGGTAAGAATTAGCTAGTTTCCTAGGTCAAAAATAAATTAATTCGACGTTTCAATACAATAAAATATTGAAAAATAACTATACTTTTATTCATCGATCGATCGATAAACTGAATTTTAGATATTTTTCAACGAATTATTAAGAAAAAGTAAGCTATTTGGCGCAAAAATACTATGACGTCATAGCTCAGTTTTTCATAAAAAATTCATAGAAAAGTATCGTTTTAGACATTTGGATAAAAGTATTGAATTTGACTAGTTGGAAACTACCGTATTGTGATAGCCATAGAAATATACAGGGCAGTATATTGAAAGAGGGACGTATTCTAGGACGCTGTTCTCACATAATCAATCCAACTAAATAATGTACCAGTGAACCGTGGACCGGTGAAGGAAAACACCTCGAGGAAACCTGGACTTATAATTTCTAATTCAAACTTATAGTTTGAAATCGCCAACCCGCATTGAGCAAGCGTGGTGATTAATGCTGAAACCTTCTCCATGTCAGAAGAGGCCTTTGCTCAGCAGTGGGCACTTATAGGCTGATGATGATGATGATGAAATAATGTACGTAAGAATCTTTATATGAAACTGTTTTTTTTTATGTGATAGGTCGACAAACTATCAGACGGATAACCTGATGGTAAGCAATCAGCGCCGCCCATGGACACCCGCAACAAGAGTAACGAGATTTAGAGATTAGGGGGAAGTGGGGCACCACAACACTGTGGTTTTTTCTAAAGTTTACCCCCTACATACAAACTTACAAATTTTACCTCTTTATAATATTAGTATAGATTCATCATCAGCCTATAAGTGGCGACTGCCGAGCTTCTAGGATCAAAAATCAAGGATTGGACCAGTAAACTCCCTCACACGGCGAAACACAACGCTGTAGTTGTTTCACGCCGGTTTTCTGTGAGGCCGTGGCATCACTCCGGTCGAGCCGACCCATTCGTGCCGAAGCATGGCTCTCCCACACTTCTTATAAAACTGTTTCTCTTTTCCAGGTTATGTTTCCCTATTCCCAATGCTGATGAAGGTCCTAAAGCCGGACAGTGACAAATTAGGCAAAATCCTTGAAGATTTGGACAAACCTGAACTCCTGTGGTCACCTTATGGATTAAGGTAAGGTGTACGCAAATAAAAATGGGTTCACGAAATTTGTGATTAATTTCCTAAACTACTCCTGAAGAACTGAATCGAAATAAAATTATAAATGTAAAAAAAATCGAACTTGAATTGGTCCGACGCGAAAATCCTAATGTGGAGCAAGATTTTTACCAGTAGGCGGATTACTTGATGGCGTTGCCGGCCTTTTGGGGATATCCCCATATTCCCAAAAGGCCTTTTGGAGATTTTAGGATTGTGGACGGACGGCGTAGGTTTCCCTCCTAGATAGATTGAGGGATTGGGCCGTTGGTTGTTTTGCACAGATTTTCTCTGTGAGGCCGAGGTATAAATCCAGTCGAGCCGACCTATTCGTGCCGAAGCATGGCTCTCCCACACTTAAAGACAAACAATTTACTTTATTTTTGAAAAACTTATCATCACATTTTCTTAAATAAAAAAAAATACTTATTATATATTTACATACTCACAGGTCCCTATCAAAATCCGCCCCTCTATACATGAAGAGGAACACAGAACACGATCCGCCATACTGGCGGGGCCAGATTTGGGTCCCAATAAATTATCTGGCCCTGTCCTCCCTGAAGCACTACTCTAACGCCGGGGGCCCGCACGCTGCGAGGGCTGCCGAACTAAATAGGAGATTAAGAGATAATGTTGTTCGTAAGTATATTATATTATCTTTTTTTTTTATGTGATAGGTCGGCAAACGAGCAAACGGATTACCTGATGGTAAGCAATAAGCGTCGCCCATGGACAACCGCAACGACGGAGGAGTTGAGTTGAGTGCGAGTGCGTTGTCGACCTTTAAATCTAAAAATCCCTTATCCCTAATAAGGGATTTTTAGATTTTGGGAAAGGGAAAGATTGGGCCTCCGGTAACCTCACTCACACTGCGAAACACAATGCTGTGGTTGTTTCATGCCGGTATTCTGTGAGGCCGTGGTATCACTCCGGTCGAACCGACCCATTCGTGCCGAAGCATGGCGCTTCCACACTTATCTTTATCTTATTATAATATTACTAGCGGCCCGCCCCCGCTTCGCACGGGTCCAACTATCTCGCTATCAAAGGGTCACTTTTTCCTAATCTTCCCCTCTACTTTTCTAATATTTTCTTTGATAAGAACCTTCTCCTCACAATAACAAACACAACAAAAAAAGAATTGCCCAAATTGGTTCAGGCGTTGTTGAGTTATGCGCTTACCAACACATTTTGCGATCCATTTTTATATATAAGATAAATGCGAAAGTAACTCTGTCTGTCTTTTCTTCACACCACGAATCACCCGATTTCTGTGTAATTTTGTACAGTATAGACATAGTTTGGAACTCGAGTAAGGACATAGGATAGTTTTTTTCCAGAAAATCCCGCAGGAGCGGGAACTTATCAAAAATCCCATGTCATCCGGAACGTCACTATTCCACGCGAATGGCGTCGCGGGCAAAAGCTGGCCTTACTAATATTATAAATGCGAAAGTTACGATGTTTGGATGTTTGTTACTCAATCACGCCAAAACGGCTGGACGGATCTGGATGAAATTTGGCACAAGCTTAGGATACACTCCGGAATTGAACATAGGCTACTTTTTATTAACATACCACGCGGGCGAAGCTGCGGACGGAAGCTAGTTATTATTAAAAGTTGAAAACCATTTTCTTTATATGAAAGCTCGGCAAACGAGCGAAATGATTTCCTGATGGTAAGCAATCAGCGCCGCCCATAGGCACTCGTAATACCGAATGAATTACTACAAATGTGTTGCCGGGGGGGCTTTGTGGGTTATGAGGGGATTGAGGATGAGAGAATTCGGCCTCTGGTAACCTCAATCACACGGCGAAACACAACATTATTTCACGCCGGTATTTGAGGTGGGGCGGGCCTCGGCCCTGAGCAGGAGAAGGAACAGGGGGGTTTTTAGTCAGTAAGAGTCTGACACTCCCTTCCGCCCGGCCCTAGGCGGGAGAAGTCATTTGATGATTTTCCCCTCACAAAAAAAAATGTATTAACAACATATTTTTTTTTCAGGTAATATTTTAAATCAATATAAGAAAACAGGATATTTGTTCGAGCAGTATTCAGCGGAAGACGGCAAGGGATCAGGATGCAAGCCCTTCAATGGCTGGACAGCTCTGGTCGTCCTTATAATGGCAGATGAGTACTAAAACATTCATATAAACAATAAAGGACAGGGCCCCATTAAGGTTGTTGTTGGGCTCCTGGAGACTTACATAGGGGCCCGACGATTCACAATTAATTTATGACTGATTTTCGAAGTTTGCAATGTATATATGTATTGAAAAGTTTTTTTTATTTTACACAAATTAATTACATTTCATTTCAATTTATGGGCCCCTCTTAGTTTGTGCAGGGGCCCGACAATTCACAATTAATTTTCGACTGTTTTAGAGGTTGGCAATGTGTATATGTATTGAAAAGTTTATTTACAGAATTTTTTATTTACACTTATTGATCATATTTCATTTCAATGTAAAGGCCCCTCTAAACTTATATAAGGGCCCGACGGTTCACAAATAATTTACGACTGTTTTTAGAGGTTGTCAATGTGTAAATGTATTGAAAAGTTTTTTATTTACACAAATATTAATTTATATTTAATTTCTTTTCTTTTTAATGTAATTCATATGTAAAAATCAGCAAGGGAAAGTTTTTAAATTGAGATGTTATTATCAGATAAAAATTATTCGTTTCGAATTTAAATATTTAGGTCTTTTTTCATTGTTTTTATAGCTAATTTATGTAAAATACCTTTTGAAATGACTTGATAAACGATGTCCAGTATTATCGTGCAAAATTAACACAAAAATGTTCCGTAATTTCGAGTCACTTCGACAATGGGGGTAACTTTGATCCAAACCAATGAAAAACGAATATACGTTTGGTTCTGGTTTACTATTGGTTAAGGACTTTGGATCAAAGTTACTCCCTAGGATCAAAGTAACCCGAAATTACGGTTTTCAAAATGTTTAATACTATAGTTGAATTGGACTAGTTAGAACAAAAATTCTAGTACTAAATTAGTTTTTTAAAATTATAGAAAAACGGTACTGGTTCGGCTAGAGGCTGACTGTAGGTCATAAGTTCTAAGGCTGATACTAAAATACCTTATTTGCGAACACCTAGGTCGAGCTAAAAGTTACTCATCATCATCATCATCTTCCTGCCCTTGCCCCTTTTTATTTGGGGTCGCCGCAATATGTTTTTTTCTTCCATTCTGTCCTGTCACCCGTCACGCTATCACTGACTCTTTTAAAAGTCGAGCTTAAAGTTACTATAAATTATATTTTCCACCATTAAGCCGGATTACTAGAATGATACCACGGCCTCATAGAAAACCGGCGTGAAACAACCACCTCTGTTGTTGCGGGTGTTTATGGGCGGCGATGATTGCTTACCATCAGATAATAAATACGTCTGATCGTTTGCCGACGCCGACCTAATTACATAAAAAAAGCTCAAATTAATTAGTACAGACGATCAACGACCTTATTTTGTTAGCTTGTATAAATATTGATTGAGTACAGATGTTACAATTGGTTGGTTAAAACCGACCAATGGCTACACTAAAAACCATCATCATCATCATCATCAGCCTATAAGTGCCCACTGCTGAGCAAAGGTCTCTTCTCATACAGTGAAGGTAAGAGCATTAATCACCACGCTTGCTCAATGCGGGTTGGCGATTTCAAACTTATAATTAGAAATTATAAGTCCAGGTTTCCTCACGATGTTTACCTTCACCGTATGTCAGTGGTGTGTAAATAAATCATAGAAAGTACATATAACTCGGAAAAAGTCACATTGGTACTTGCTTCCCTTATGCATGAGAAGCGGGCTTCTTAACCTCCGGACCATTACAAACCATACAATTGAGTAGATTTCTACAAAAAAAAAAAACAATTCAACGTTTCATTACTTGCACTGAATTTGGTAGCAAAATTGTCTTTGATACAATAGTGTTTTGTATAGAATATCAGTCAATAATTTTGTAATATTTATACTTAGGTCAAAATCAATGGGATATGTTTTTCTGTCTTTTGAGTTTTTTACAGACATGTCAATTCGCAAGCTTAGAAAAGAATTTAATAAAAATTACTTAGCGTATATTGATGGAAATATAATATTGAAACATGTGACTCGGCGCCCTGTTCCGTTTGAAGGACATCACTCTAAAATAATGATAAATTGAATTATTTAAAGTTATCTCCCTAGTTGAGCATAGTACTATTGAATTATTTCGGATTTTTATTACCACCATAATGCCTTCCCAGTCCCAAAAACTCTTAAGTCAATTATCCCTAAATACCAGCAATATGCGTGCAACTCCTCCGGTGTTATCCATCAGCGGCGCAAAACCCTTATCCCCAAAAGACATCTCCAACTCCTCTGTTTTTTTATGGTTTAGATCAGCAAACGAGCATCCGACTTTTCGATGGTAAGCAATCAGCGCCGCTCATGGTCACCCGTAAGGGTTTCGGATATTTAAGGATTGGGAAAAGATGAGGAGGGGTAGGGATTGGGCCTTCGGTAACCTCACTCACACGGCGAAACACAACGCTGTGGTAGTTTCGCGCCGGTTTTCTGTGAGGCCGTGGTATTAATCCGGTCAAGCCGACCCATTCGTGCCGAAGCATAGCTCTCTCAAACTTCTTGATAGTGTTATCCATGATTGGCGCCGATCGCTCACCGTTAGAGAATCAGTCGGCTCATTTTCTGCCCTAAAATTTTCTTCATAGACGAAAATACAGAATGTAATTTTGTTCGATCGAGTCTCATTTCAATATTATGTTTCCGAATTAATTTTAAGTATAGTGGGGTCTAAAATAAACTGTACTGATTGTTTAGAATTTAATAATTTTGTGAATAGATTTAGGCATTTTCGTTTATAACAAGTCTTCCTAAATTAAATATGTATATTACGTGACCGACATTAGAATCGTCATGAGCTAATGTTGACATGTAAACGGCGACTCATGTAGTCTAGAGATTGTCCAGTCAACTGATGGTAGCGAGGTTCACTGTCCAGTGACACACGTACGCTGGTATCGTCGTGAGCTAATGTTGACATGTAAACAGCGACTCATGTAGTGTAGAGATTGTCCAGTCAACTGATGGTAGCGAGGTTCACTGTCCAGTGACACACGTATGCTGGTATAGTTATGAACTAATGTTGACATGTAAACAGCGACTCATGTAGTGTAGAGATTGTCCAGTCAACTGATGGTAGCGAGGTTCACTGTCCAGTGACACACGTACGCTGGTATCGTCATGAGCTAATGTTGACATGTAAACAGCGACTCATGTAGTGTAGAGATTGTCCAGTCAACTGATGGTAGCGAGGTTCACTGTCCAGTGACACACGTACGCTGGTATCGTCATGAGCTAATGTTGACATGTAAACGGCGGTTCAAGATGTAGAGTAATTTATTTTTGTCAACTTAAAAATGCATTCCTTCAATAAAATTATAATTGTATGCATTTTGATACATACTTAATTTATTTTTATGGTTTTCTTTTGTATAAATGAAATTTAAATAAAAAATATAAGTTTTAAATATAGTAAAATAGTTAGTTCCAAAAATAGCTAGTTTAATTATCACATGCACAGATTAGGTAGACAAAAACTTTAGATTGAAAATTAGAAATGGATGCGTAAAACATCTTATAAGCTTAGATCAATAAGAGTTATAGCCATGGTGGAGTGTTTTTGTCAGGGGAAAATCATCAAATGACTTCTTCCGCCCTGGGTCGGGTGAGAGGAAGAGTCAGACTCCTACTGACTAAGAATCCCCCGTTCCTTCTCTTGCTTTGGGCCGAGGCCGCGGTGCCTCATTGCGCTTGCCCCCCAAACCCCGACTGAACGTCAGCCTTATAGGGCCCCGTCTGTATTATGGTGTGTTGGATTTACAATATAAATTATTAACTACAGCGTCATAGTACCCATATAGATACTTGAAATAGGGGGCCCGTATACCGTTGGGCCCAATCTGTGTAAACTCCTTTGGAGGCCTGTCTATCTGACTATAGAAAAATCAGCCCTTAACCGTTTTTTTTTAATTTGGCGGTTTATTTTGACGTAGATCTAAGCTTATAAGATTTATAAAAAAAAGTATTAAGTAATATTTTTCTGTAATTACCTGAAGTACTTATAAAAATAATAAATAATCTTCTATACTTATGTTTTGCATCAAAATCAGTTGCGTAGTTTTAAAGATTTGAGCTTACACACGGACAGAGAAAGCGACTTTGTTTTATACCATGTTGTAATTTGTATGTTTCCTGTGATGCATGCGGATTTACATTGAATAAACTGTTCTTTTCTTTTAATAGTTTATTTTATGTAACAAAACAAATGACATGTGATTTATAAAAATATTATTTTATTTAATTTATTTATAATTTCATTTATTATATATTGTACATTATTTGTAAATATTAAATTGTTAAATAAATTATAATATGGAAGATAATGGTGTGTTTTTTTATCATATTTTATCCTGTGTGTTTTTGGTCTGGTGAAAATGCGAACTTTCTTTGAGTTTTATGTTATGGGAGCCACTAAGCTAATCGATTACCTGATGGTAAGCAGCTTTTTGGGGATTAGGAATGAGGATGGTGCCTCTGGTGACCTGACTCACAAGGTGAAACAGACACGACTGCGTTGTTTTCTGTGAGGTCGAGCTGACCCATTCGCGCTGAAGCTTGGCTCTGCCACACTCGCAAATGCTGAGAGAGAGGTTGTGAAGAGTTGTGTTAGGTATATAAAGTTTAGTTAGATAATCTATACTAATATTATAAAGAGGTAAAATTTGTAAGTTTGTATGTAGGGGGTAATCTTTGGAACCGCTGGTCGGATTGCCAAAATTTTTTCACTGATAGATAGCTACAATGTTCCTGAGTGCTATAAAACATCACGCTACGATTAAAAGGAGCCGAGCAGCGGGTGAAACCGCGCGAGAGTAGCTAGTAAGTAAGAAAAAAGATAGACGCGCGCGCGGCGCGCCTCGCGCTTTACGGTCAGCGCTACATAGGCTAGAGATGCTCCAATGTTGTCGTAAGTCAATTGTAAGAAAAGGAAATTCATTAATCTGTTTTTCAAAACAGTGTTGTTATTCAAACGCGGTTTTTGCAATTGCCATAAGTATGTTTACAATTACTTTAACTGTTCAGCACAACCAGACAGGGTTTCGGCGCAACGCAGGGTTAAAGTAGGAGTTGAAACGGAGATTTTTTGTCATTAAGAGTCATTTAGTCCTCCTCCTTACTCAGATATTAGAGCTTTTGGTTTGATAACCAGGTATGATAACTCGTGGGTTGCGGATGTCGGAGTGTTGCGGATTTCATTATCATCATCATAGCAGCCATGTTTTAACATATGCCTCCTTCAATGATTTTCAAACTGGTGGGCAGCACGCGAGCTGTACCCGTTTAAATTGTTGGTTCAAATTACATTTTCCCTCCTTCATGTCACGCAGTCTTGTAAAAAGTGGACATCTTTTTAATTTTTTTGTGACATATGGGACAAAGTTATTCGAAAAGTATTTTCAATATTTTATTACCACAATCATAGATGAAATTGATAAAAATTTTATATAAAAAATTATACTTTGTGTTAATTTTACAAATAGTGAACGCAGCTGAAAGGCCAAAAACATTCAGCTTGGCGTTTTCGTCACACGTCATCGCTGACGTTTGGTAAGTGCGTTCAGAACACATGTTTAAAATTGAGTATAAGACACCAACAATTTTGTTTGTTACTTAATTTACTATAATACTGTGACTACTAATTAGCTTAAATAATTTAGTAACGGCAAAAAACAATTTCGATATTATGATCATTTAATATTGTACCATTTAAAATAATAATTGAATGATGTGCAGAAACCTAATATACCTTTCACTTTTAAATTGCCTGGTAACATTTCAGAACGTTTCTTTCCACATTCGAAATACGTGGAGGCAAGTCAAGAGTAAAATCGTAACTTTAAAATAGTAAATTAGATTTTAAACTCACAATTTGTTAGTAATCAAGCAAAATGGTCACAAAATACGCGATTTGTTTGTTC